ATGAAGTATTCTGTTTCATTTATTCACAACTCACATTTTACGACCTACCTACAACAGAATAAAATGAATATTCTTAATTGTTCGATTATTGGATGAAGGAAACAAAGAAAAGGGGGAAAAGTAGAAACATTGCATCACGCCAAGTTTAAATTATAACCACAGCAGCAATACCTGTCCTCTAGCAGCCCATATAAATTGGACACCAGGTGCTGTTAGTCAGTGATGTGCAAAGTTGTACCGTAATGTCTTCTTTTAATATTCAATCTTAGGATTTGATTCTCTGTCAAGGATAATCTTTATTGCCTGGCTGACTTACCCCATGAGTTGCTTGCAATGCCACTTTAGGGACATTGTAAGAGTCAAAGTTGTTGGTGTGGGACTGGAGTCATATTTTGAGAAATCAGGAAATAACTGCAGATTTCCTTCCCTAGAGGACAGAGGTGAAATAATTGAGTTTTAAGTTTACTCCAATAGCTTCATGGTTACTTTTGTCACTGCTAGCAGCTTTCTTTTTAGCATTTTCTCTAAATACATGTTTTCAACCTTACAGGAGTTGCTTTGGAATGGGGCCTATTGACCAAGGGGCAGCAGGATGAGAAGGATTGATCACAGGGAAAGGGAGTTTGGAAGATTTTCAATTTTGCAAGGCATGTTGATCACAGGGGTGTCATCAGGAATTTGGGAGAAGTTGGGGATCAGTTGGTGTAGGCATTGATTGAGAGGATGGAGTTTGATCGGATAGGTCACTGATTCTAGGGAAAGAGAGATGAAGAGATTGTAGAGTGAAGGAGATTGGAACCATGGTAGTTTGATGGTCATAAGGCTTATCACTATAAAGGAAGTCACAGGCCTTGGAATGGGATCAGACAGCTTGGGGAAAATGTCAGTGGATTGGTTTGCCTGATCATGGTGGAAGATATGAAAGCACTTGCCTCATGAATCCAGTAAATTCCCATTTCAATGAAGTTCTCAGGTTTTCCAACTCCCAGCCAACAATTTATAAAACTAAACTTGGATAAAATCCAAGGCTGGATTTTTAAAATTCATATTTAAAATGGCAACATGCCCTCTTGGATCAGATTGGTCATCTGCCTATGTTTAGACCAGAATTAAAGTTGGAAGTAGATGGGTTGAGAGCAGATTTGTGTTCAGAAAGAGATTTATCATACTTTATCCCCTCACCTAAGCCATATCAACACCTTTATTTTGTTTAAAATTTGACGTCTTAAATGTTTTTTTCTTTATTTTCCATTTATTTCATATTTACCAGGACTCTTTTGTGTAATGCTTTGTTGAAAGTTGCCTTGTAGTCTCATAGGACCACTGAAGTGTGCATCAGTGAGCAGGATGTTGCAGAACAAATGCCACATGTTTGCACTGCTGAAGACTGCTTCTGTCAATTGGTTGAGATTGAATTGATGAGATAGTAATTGGCCAGATTTGATTTGTCCTGTTTTTCGTGAGCAGGCCATGGCATGGCAATTTTCCACCTAGCTGGTTAAGTGCCAGTATAGTAGCTGTCCTGAAACAGCGTCATAGCTAGATCTGAAACACCATTCTTCAGCAGATTATCTTTCATTCTAGTGTAGATGACTGATAGAATAGAAAGCAATTAAACTGAAATTATAACAAAATACAGAAAGTTAAACAAGAAATTATATGCATTTTAGCGCTGTTATGTTGATCCATTTTCATGTTCTGCATCTGACCACAGTATTTCATTTTTAACTGAGCTTGCATGAATTATCTCTCAGGAGGACTAATTTTCTTGCTCAATCGGCAAATATTCATTGTGTATAGATGAGGAGCGCTTGTTAATAATTGGTATATATTAAATAAATCTCCTAAAATTAACAGACTACTGAGTCACTAACCAGGTGAAAGTTGGTGTGCTTGGTGAGGTGAGTAGTAAACTTTTTGCTGTCTGCCATTAAAATCACAGATAAGACTATGGATGGAATTTTGACTTTTGCAGTTGAAGTGGTTTTTTTGAGTGAGGTTTATGACTGTCAGATTGCCATGTTATATGGTATCTTTTCTCACACAATCTTCCAATCTTCACCTCATTAATTATTCATCCAGGCTCTATGGCACCCATCTTGTGGAACCACATGGTAGAAAAATTGGAAATGCTTGCCATCACCAGGACCTTCCTGCATTCATGTCGCTGGTGCCTGGTTTAAGGCCAAGCTGCACCCAACTTCATATGCTGCCAGTCAGGAACTGACCCTCATACTGTGATGCTGCACCATTAAGGTACAGAAAGGAAAGCCAGCACACTGTTTTGCACACAGGGGTGTTGGAGGTGCTGGTGGATGGGGTAGTGGAGAGGAAGGCCATCCTTTTTCCAGCTGACCGCCATAGAGGGTACCTGACCAAGCTGTCCCCCACTGCTCTGGACTGAGACAGCTGTCCACATCAATAAAGTAGAATACCCAATAATGAAAATGAAGGTCAATGATCTTCCGTGTTGTACAAGGTTAAGTACTACTTTCTCCTTTCTGCTATCTCACACCCTCAGGATCACCACTCATACTAAGTCTGCCACTGCACATACGTCTCATCAAGGCTCATGGACTGCAACTCTCTATATCTCGTGCAACATGTCCACTCAATGGCTTTCACCCACTTCATCCTCCAACTAGTAACTTTCAAAACCAACAACCATTAACATCTAGAAAGTCAAGAGCAATAGATACATGGAACCGCCACGTGCAGGTCCCCCGCCAAGTCATTTACCATTCTGTCTTGGAAATATATTGCCGTTCCTTCAGTAATGCTGGGTCAAAATCCTGGAACTCTTTCCCTAACAGCATTATAAGTGTACCTTACAGCAAAATGGACAGCAGAGTTTCAAGAAGGCAGCTCATCACATCTACTTTCTGAAGGGCTACCTGGAATAGGCAATAAATGTTGGCCTAACCAGTGATGCCCATGTGACATAAATGAATCAACAAAACAGCATGGTGGTTCAGTGGTTAGCGCTGCTGCCTCACAGTGCCAGGGACCTGGGTTCGATTCCAGCCTTGGGCAACTGTCTGTGTGGAGTTTGTATGTTCTCCCTGTGCCTGCATGGATTTCCTCCGGGTGCTCCGGTTTCCTCCCACAGTCTAAAGATGTGCAGGCCAGGTGGATTGGTCATGCTAAATTGCCCATAGTGCCCAAGGATCTTTAAGTTAGGTGGGTTAGACATGGGGAAATGTAGGGTTAGGGGAATAGGTCTGGGTGGGATGCTCTTCAGAGGGGCAGTGTGGACCTGTGGGGCTCAATGGCCTGTTTCCACACTGTAGGGATTCTATGAAATACTTGACATTGAACTCTTAACTCAGTGTTTAAATCCCAACATGCTAAACTGATTTCAGTTAATTGGTAACTTGTAAGTGTTCCTCCTTGGGATGAGCCTTGACAATAATCACTTCACCACTTCCAAGGCCTATGTGGGCAATGGTCTATTCCTCACTGTAGCTGATCTGAGGGCTGCAGGTGGAGGCATTGAGACTCAGAACATGCAGGATGTATCTGTTTGGAAGGGTCATTCTTTCCACCAGACAAGCTACATCTTGATGTTTATTTGACAGTTCTGGTGATGAGAAATCCTACCAAATGACTTTGACAGTCAACCTCATGAACTACCCAGCAGAATCCATCATATACTTTTTTCACAGGGCCTCAAGGGCATTACATGTGGCTGGGTGGACTCATAGATTTTTTTTCCTGTGTATGTTTTACAATGACAGACAAGTGGTCCAACTGAATGTAGTATGCTGTGACAATGCGGAAACACTTGTCTTCACACTACAGGGAACAAGTAAAACCTCTGCACATTGTAACACCTACTGTTGGCACACTGGAGATCCATTACTGCTTGACATAAAAAAAAGTGGCAATCACAGTGAGAGTGATTTTGGGTACATCTTATCCTTCCTCTATCCAAAACGGTTCCTGCAGCATGATCTATTTTTTGATCTCAAGATGAAGCATAAAATGTTTCATGACAGCCACAATGCAGGAACTGGACATGGACCAAAACTCTATCATATTAAGGAACAAAGGAAGTGTCTCACACCTGATGACCAGGTTCACAGCTGCAAAGGAAGAATGAGTGCTACTCCCACATGCACAATTTGTGTTCACAAGATCTATATGTTCCTTCCAGTTTGGGCTCACCCTCACATCCCCAGCTCCCTCAGATAATCTGACCAGACAGTGAGGTGCCCAAGTCTGGTCAGTTTCCAAAGATTACAGGCTCACTCCTGTTGCAATTTACCTTGACTCCCAATACATCAGACCAAAAACTGATAGTGAATCTGAGCAGAAGAGAGTGACATGATCCCTACGTGGGAAAACTCAATAGATGCCCTACCCACTTCCTGCATGATGAGTACCACATATTAAAGTAGATCCCCACATTTTTACCAATTAGAAATAAGAAAAGCTATATATATTAACTTAGCTGCAAAATATCTTTGAATTTACTTAACTATCTTAATACAATGTGCTGCCATGCCCAGGAAATGAATAGTATTTCAAATAAGTAATTGTTCTAATTTTTTCAGAATATGTTATTGTGCCACAAAAAAAAGAGATTATGTTGTCATTTTTATTACACTGAGGTTATGTGCAGTAATAACAAGGAACAGCAGAAATATTTCTGTTCTTATTATGTTACTTCTCTCATTATGCAAAGGTTGCACTCTGAGATTGTCTTTGTTTATTATGTAACCTGAAAGCAATGCAGGCAATATTATGCCATCTTAGTTCACCTCAAAACCTTAATGTCAGCAAATTATATAAATAACAGATTTATTTTCGTGCTATAAGGTAACTAAAGTAACCAATTTGCTGAGTGACACCAGAAATTTATTTCAGGAGCACTAGGAGTGAAAATACTGGGTTATATTTTCTTTTGATGTCATATGTTACATCATCTTTTCTATTTCACTACTTCAATGAATTTCTTTTCAGAGTCTCCTAGCAACTTGAACGTGGCGTCAGTGAGGCTGCTTTTATCCTCCCCTATTTGTTCTCTTTATCTGTGATGTGCACAGCTGCCAAGCAGAGACTGGACATACAAACTGTGAAGTCTTTCCAATGCTATTCTGTTGTCTGCGGTGAGATCTGCAGGAGTCTATATTGCCAGTCAGTACAGCACCACACTCAAGTTTCTGGCTGAATGTTATGCTCAAGTTCCTGGAGTGAGATTTGAATCCACAGCCCTCTGATTCATAGCCCAGAGTGCAACGACCGAGTAACTGCCACGTAAGTGATAAATTAACCAAGAGGCTAATAATAATATTCAAAATTTCAAGCTTAATAAATTACTTTCCCACATCCTAACATGTCCCATGGGTTAAGAGGCAAATTGTTAAAAGCATATTTCCTTTAAAAAAATTGAATCCTATGCGTTTTACACAGTAACCTGTGTGCTGCAGAACCCATTAATGAGAGCAAAGATGATCTCATTGTTTGCTCTTGGTTTGATCTATCTTCCATAATAACCTTGAACAACTGGCTCAGGAAGCTACCCATGAAAGGAGAGTGAAAACGCTTCATTCTATTTATTCACTTCAGATGCACAACAAAAACAAGCAATGCATTCAATCTTTTACTCAACTATTTGTACATATTCAGAATAATTGGGGTTTTCAATTGTCTAGATTATCTCCAGTTATAAATGAAAAGTTTCCTATCTGAAGCCAGAAATGATTTAACTTACTCATACTTATTTTCCACTCTACAGTTCATGAACACACACACAACCTTGCTGGCTTTCTCTAATGAGGCACTTAGGCATGCAAGACAGATTATGTATTATGTTGCCCCCACCACCCCTCCTCCAAAAAAGGATATGACTGGAGGTCCTGCCTTGTGTGAGGATTTCCTGTTGTTCTTCTGGAGAGACCTTGACCACTGACAAGATGGCCAGCTCGCAAGTTAAACCGGGAACAGCTGCAAGACAATTCTCACACGTCAAATGAATGCAATGCTTCCTTGGAACAGGAAATCTGTTTCTGTGTAGTTTAAATAAATCCTTTGTGCTCTTGATACATTTGGCATCAAAGGTTTTTGTGATTTTTGGGATGATTTGTGGCAGAAACTGGCACCATATCAAGTTAGCTCTGCATGTAATGCTACAGATACGATAACAGTATCCAGATGAATTGTACATTGAATACCACATTTTACTACAAGAAATCATATTTTTCTCTTTTAATATTATCTACTAAAGTTCATCTATTTCTGTTTTTGTACATCAGCTGACAATCAAGTTACTGAATGTAGGTGCACTTTCCAAGTTGGATTAATGTGATTTAGATAATTCTGCCCAATAGAAAGTAACGATTCAATGATATTATTATCACCAGTCCTTTTGCATATATGGAATTTATACAGCTGTGCCATGTGTAAATCAGAACACACAGGTAATGCTTTTAGGAAACTCAGGCAGAAATCTCATTCACCTTCCTGACAGCGTTCAGCAAGAAAAATGGTGATTATTTTGGCACGTCAGGTTAATATGACAACGAAGTTCAGGAATAAGTCATTGGTTTTAGATTATTACACGTGGCAGCTACTAGCTCAGGAACCCAAGAGGACAAGAAGCATCATGACTTTAAACATCACCATTGTGTCATAAATAAAAAGAACTATAAATAATGTAGCCCTTTGAACTATAATCGATAATCGAAGATATCTTAAACATTGTGAATTAAATCCATACATGGTCTATAATGTAGGAAAGATGTCATTTTTTTTAAAATAAGAGCTTCATGAAGTTTATATTGTGAATGCCACATTGTTACAGGAAGAGTTTAGGACCAGAGGGCATAGTCTCAAAATAAAGAGATGTTCATTTAAGACTGAGGGGAGACATTTCTTTTCTCAGAGGATTGTAAGTATTTGGAACTCCTTGCCACAGAAACCTGTGGGGGCAGAGACCTTGTGTATATTTCAGGCTGAAATGGAACCAAGGATAAAGGGAAAAGTTCTGGAGAGTGAATGTGAGGGATGTCAGATCAGCCATGGCCCTATTGAATGACAGAACAGGCTCAAGTGGTTGAACAGCATTGACTCAACTTCCGGGTCTATGCTAGGTTTCTGAATCAGACAAAAGAGCCCCCTAACCACACCATACCTGGATATCTCCACAGCAACCTCCTCACCAAACTGCTTCACCTTCCACACCCATCACCCACCACCCACACAAGGTCTCAGTCAAACCAGACAGTATTCATTTGGCAGTTTTCAGGAGTTGCAACCTTTCATTGTTTTCTGACCCACCACTAAGTTGCAATGGACTCAATCAGCTCATAAATGAACGTAATTGGTGTCGAATTGCTGGTTACCATGGATCTCATGTTAGCTCCTACTGCCTCTGACTTAATTAGAGGAGGTTCTCCATTGACTAAAATGGCTTCAAAAAGGAAGAAATGTCGACCTAAGTTGGCTATATTAATCACTTGACCACAGGAAATCAATCTGGAATAAATTTGAACAATAGTACCATTTAATCTAAAAATATTGAAATCAATCAACAAAGGCAGGCATCAAAAAACTCACATCTCCTCTTTTAATGATTCACATTTGTCTGATAAGTTGCACATATTGGACATGAAAAGTTGCTTGTGACTGTCCAGCTTAGAAAGACAATGGAGCTAGACATGGGAATTCACAAATGAACCATATTTCGGAAGCTGTTGGCGCAACCGCAAACAGAGAAAAATAGAAATGGATTGGTATCAGCAAGGACCAGAAAGCTCTTTTTATCTCTCCCTGTTTCCTTTTCATCATTTTGATTGCTGAAACCAGTGCTAACTTATACTGGAGACACGTTTGTTCACCAAGGGCTTAAGGATTCTTGAAATTTTTGTTTCCGCTGAGGGCATAAGATATTAACTAAACAGTTGTACAACTTTAAGCACTAAGAATTTTCAAATGGCATTTTTTCTCTATTGTATTAGACAAGTTCCTCGTTTTGAATAAAACATTATACCTGTGTTGTGTTTGATGTTGCACTTAATTAGTTTCTTGGGGTTAGTGGGTAATAATAGCAATAAAATTCCTTTCTTTCTGTCAAAGAAACTCTTATTTTCCTCCTTAATTTTAACAATGTTCTATTTGAAACAAAATCCTACATAGGGTAGAGGAAGTGAGTTCTACAGTATCATGGTGTGATACCATTGTGAGCTAAAATTAATTAAAAATCTTTGTTGCACCTAGCTGAAAGGGTTAAAAAGAATGAAGCCAATTCATTCTTCCTTACCTGTTTAAAATAATTTGCATATTAAGAAGGTTTTCTATTCATAACTGGCTAGATTCTATAATTTTTTAGTCTCTTAGATTTATTGGATGAGCATTGATTTTCTAAACAATTTATGTCATAGAGTCTTGATGTCATGCAGCATACAGCACACTTCAGCTGATTAAGCTTGTTCTGACCTACCTACACTAACCCTATCAACATTTGAGGCTATGGCCAAGTGCTCATACATGTATGTTTTAAAGGTTGTGAGGTTTCCCACCTCAAATGTCCTTCCAGGCAGTGCATTCCAGACTGCCACTACTGTTTAGGAGAAAAATATTTTCCTCAAATACCCTTTAAAATTTCTACCTGTCACCTTAAAATTATGACATCTCATTATTGACCCTTCAAAAAGGGGAGTAGTTGCTCTCTATCAACCCTGTCCATGCCCCCCGTTGTCTTACACACCTCAATCGGGGCCACCTCAGTCTTCCCTGTTCTAAACAAAGCAACCTGAGCCTAACCAGACTCACTTCATGGTTGAAATCTCCATCTCAGGTATCATCCTGGTAAATCATCTTTGCACAATCTCCAATGCAATTATATCCTTCCTATGGTGTGGTAACCAGAACTGCACACAGTACTGCAGCTGTGGCCTAACCAACATTTTGTACAGCTCCAACATAACCTCCTCTCACAATTGATAAAAGCAAGTGTACCATATGTCTTCTTAACTACCCTACCAACTTGTCCTGCTGCCTTCAGTAGTCTGAACAAACACACCAAGATCCCCATGTTCCTGAGCTTCCTAGTGTCCTGCCATTCATTGAATACAGAGATAGTAGGAACTGCAGATGCTGGAGAATCTGAGATAACAAGGTGTAGAGCTGGATGAACACAGCAGGCCAAGCAGCATCAGAGGAGCAGGAAGGCTGACGTTTCGGGCCCGAAACGTCAGCCTTC